GGTGTTCTGGAAAGGAAATGAACGTCTCCAGAAGAAAAATAATGTTGTAATAAAATTAAGAGCCTGCAAGGTTTCATAACAGTATTATTCATACTAACCAGAAAGTAGAAACGAATCTAATATCAATGATGGACAAACAAAATGTGGTATACTCATACAATGGATACAATGGCATATTATTCAGCCATAAAAAAGAAATGTTGGAACACATTACAACATGGAAAAACATTATGCTACATAAAAGAAGTCAGTTATAAAAGACCAAATATTCTATGATTCTGTTTATATGAAATGTCCAGAATAGGGAAATCTATAAGGACCGAAAAGTACAATAGTGATTGCCAGAAGATGTAGGGAGAGGGAAATTGGAAGTGACTGCTAACAGGTACAGAGTTTCCTTTTGGGATGGTGAAAATGTTCTAGAATTAGATAGCAATTCTGATTGTGCAAATATTGTGAATATATTAAAAACTATTAAGTTGTGTTATTTAAAATGGTGAATTTTATATTAAGTAAAGTTTATCTCAATAAAAAAAATCACTAAAGACAAAATACACTGAAATGGAAGTGAATCTAAAAGGAGTCTGAAATATCAGAACTGAAAGAGGTCTAGGTAAGCTTGAAGAACGGAAGCGATAGGAGTAAAGATGGGAACTGCAAGGACTGGAGACTCAAGTCAGAAAGTAAGATATCAGCATTCCATATCTCAGAGATTAGAATTTTGAGTGGTGATGCACAGAAACCATGGTTATGAAAACAGGTATAAGTATTAGAATAAAGGTCATTTTACAGTAGTTGGAGAGAAATGAAGTTATTGTGTAGCTGAAACATATACACTGCAATTAGGAGGAAAGACTGATCTGGAGATACTTTGTCAGCTATCAAAATCCTTATCAGATTACTGTTATGACTGAGATATTTATATAAGCCTACAAAGAGAGAAGATTTTTACCCAATTAAGAGTAAATGTCAAATCAGTCAAAATTATCAAGCTAGTAGCCTTGATTCATTCAACAGTTTTTTAATTAAAGTGAAAATTATGTCATAGGCACTTTGCCAGATAATGGGAATACAAATGACTTACTTGCAGACTATCCTCCAATGTAACATTTCTAAGTCTCATTTTCTTTTCAGGTGTAAATTTGATATAACATAAAATTTGCAACATTGTTGTGAAGGTTGGAGAGACTATACTTAAAACATAGAACTTGGTACCCTAAGTGTCCAAGAAATAAGAGCGTTTATTTCCTCACCTTTTAAAGACAGCTTGTCTTCAAGGAGCTAATAAATAAGAGTCTGTTGAACACCATGATCATTAACATTTATTCAGAACTTACTATGTGCCAAGAACTGTAGCTAAGCACTTAACATGTAGGAGCATATCTTACTCTCAAAATAACCCTAAAGACAGATACTTATTTATTTTCCTTATTTTGGAGATAAAGAAATTGAGACACAGAAAAGTTGAAAAACTTGCCCAAGACCACACAGCTTGGTAAGTGGTACAGCCAAATTCAAATGTAGGCAGCCTTGCTCCTGGCTTTGTGCTCTTAACTGTTCAATTATGCTAAAAGAATTATAATATTACAATAATTTAAATGGAAGTATGTGTAAAAAGCAATGCAATACTAGAAAAAGAACCTAAATTTAGTAGTAATTGAGCTGTGATTTAAAGGGTATATGCTTAACAAACAGGGAACAAGCATGCTGGTGAGAAGTTACACCAGATACTGAAATTATATCTAGATTGCAACTATGATGTTCTATGATGCCAACGCCCAAATACTGCCAGAATGGAGAACTAATTGGACTCAGTAGAGCAGTGCTACTCATGAAGCACTATTCACCAGTGAGAGTGTAACTATTGGTGGCACACATTATAAGCAAAATAAATATAAGCTAAGTCACCAAGCTAGTTTAACCTGCTGCTGGCATGATTTACAATGATATTACAGGTGAAACTTGCCCTGCACCAAGTTATGAAATCAGCAAACTAGTCTTGGGCAACCCCTCCCCTCCACTAGCCCTTCAATGCCACCATCTTCAATAACAACTATTTCTAGCACTCTTAAGTTTCTCTTCTCTATGCTTATTCCTCATAATTCTAAAGTAAAAATGATAGATAATAGCTTAAGAATTTGGGAGAGGTATATTTAATAAGGGATTAAGATCTTAAACTAGAAAAATATAAAAATTGTTATGGAACTTCTTTTTGGGTAGAAAATGATATTTTTTAAAAAGTCGAAGTTTCCATGGTGCCCTTGTAGCCCTTTGCATAATATAGACTTTAGAAAGGGCTTAGAGTTCTTAGTACTGAATGTCAATACTTTAGTAACTTGTTTTGGATTTGAATCTTTTGGTTTCAGAATTCTACCAGTCCCCCAACCCCAACAAAATGATATAAAAGAAAAAAAAAGCTGCTCATAAAAGCAAAATCATTAGTAAAAATGCTATCAGTGGACTGTTTAGATACTTTAAATTTTGAGGTTCCCTGCTCCAAAAAAAAATTCATATGCTCTAGATGCAGGTCTATCTGAAGAGAACAGATGCCCTGTTATACTACTCTGAGACTCAGTAAAAAGCCTTGGCCTTCTATATACTCTCTCATAAATCTACCAGAAAATCGAAACTACATCTTCTGTCACCTACCTTAAGGGTTTAAGAACTATGTTTCAATGAGTGCTTAAAAATAAATATAATACCTCAGGGTAAAATAATGACAGTAATAACCCCACATATTTAACTGTAAATAAAAAGTAAAATTTTTGAAAATATTTGTACCAAAACTTATAACATTAATTTTTAAAAACACTTGCCTGGAAGCTTGCTAGTGTTCCTCAGAAAATTCCAAGTGGCATGTGCTCCCCCAACATGGATCCAGAAGTACAGTGATGCACAAGAGCACTGAACTAAGAATAAAAACATATGGTTCTAACCCTGGTTCTGCCTTTTCTAACTGTGACATGAAGTAAGTCCCCTTCACTTTCTGGACTTTGTTTGGTATCCTCATCTCTAAAATGAAAATAATGTTATCTGTTCCACCTACCTCCAAGGATTACCGTAAAAATCCAAAAACATATCATATGACAAAGTGCTTTGAACACTATAGAGCACTACACAGAAAAATAACTTATTACTAAACATTTTCTAAAATTTTTGTTTGACATAATATAAATAATAATGTTGCTTTATATCTGCTCTATTTTATTTACATTAGATACATATGTATTTCAAATTTTAAAACATTTGAAAACCTTCAGCCTAGTTAACATATTTTTATACCCTTGCTACTCAAAGTGCAGCCCTGGAGCAACAGCACAGGTATCACCTGGGGTCTGGTTAAAAATACAGACTCTTGGATACCCCAAACTTACTGAATCGGGACCTGTATTTTCACAAGATCCCCAGGTGATAGGAATCTATGCACAGTAAGGTTTCAGAAGCACCGTTTTACACAGTATCAGCATTTACAATAGTAATTATATAAATAAAAATTTTTTTCAAAAGGGATATTTCAAATTATGTATCTGTTCATCATTTATCTCTGGAAATTTTGAGATATTTCACTGGGTTACTTAAGATCAGAAGCCATGTATATTAGTCATTCTCATATTTCTGCCTGTTATATAGCAGACAATGCTTCTTGTGTAGGTGTAAAAAATGATTATCAATAATTAATATAGAAGATAGTAATCAATGTACATTCACCCTTACAGAGAATATGATCACTTAATATTAATTATTAAGTACATATTAAGCATTTCTGGAAAGTGCTTTTTAAAATGTTTATAAATTTTATTTTATATTTGTTTTTAAAATTTTTTCTTGAGTTTTATTTTTTAATTGTATTTTTTTCCACTACCATTTAGTCCCCTCATACCCCCCACCCCTCCCTGCAATCACCACACTGTTAGCCATGTCCAGGAGTCAAACTTTATTTTATAGTTGAACATGAGCATGGACACACCCAAATTTATAAATGGGAATGGTAGGTTATATATGAAATCCATTAGGCATCAAAAAAGATAGTTACAATCTTTCTGATGGAGAAAAAAGGAAACAAACCTCCAGCAATATAAGGAATCTGAGGTCTGTCCAGAAAGTATCCAGCCATGTGGTATGAAAAAGAGACATTTGTTAAAGAACATACAAGAAACACTGCACACAGGACAATGATATCTCAGTCCCCTTCAAAGGAGGCACCATGGAGCATCTCACAGTTCTCCCAGTCACCATCAGCTTCCCTGTTTTATTTTCCTGAATCTCAATGATAGTCTGACATCTCTTCACTTTCAAAGGTGTTTTTAGTTTTGGGAAAAGCCAGAAGTCACAGGGTGCCAAATCTGGGCTGCAGTGGGGCTGAGTCACCTGGGTGATTTGATGTTTCACCAAAAAACTCAGCACAAGATGTGACGCATGAGCAGAGGTGTTATCATGAGGAAGCTACTGATCACCAGTTGCCCATAGCTGTGACCTTCTGAATCATCCAAATAGTCTCCAGAGAGGAATGTTCAAGCTTAATACAAAATTTCACACAGATTTCATTGTGCTACTCACTCAGCCATTTTGAATGCAATGACCACACAGTACATATGCTCACTCAAAGGCGTCTACTGACTCCACTGACTAGTACAGTGAAGTTGTCATTATTCACACATGCACATTCCAGTCTACTCTCCTTGGCTGTCAGGTTACATCAATGTTGTACAAACTGTTCTCGTTATATTAACAATGGTTGGAATTTTTCCGTGCAGACCTTGTATACTGTGAACTTTAATGTCAGACACCATTCAAAATCTTGCTCTGGCACTAGATTAGGTTTTCAACAAGCTACTTATTGTTTCTAGCTTCAATTACCTCGTGTGTAAAATTGGGATAATAAGCATTTATTCTCATAGAGATAAAAGAAATAATGTGAACCACCTAGTGTTATAGTCATAACTTATTATTTATGGAAAACAAGAATTAATGTTTTAAAAAGTTAAAAAAGTATTATTTACCTTATCAAGTTTTAGTTCTAATTCTGCCACATCTCCTTCTACTTCTTCCAAAGCAGCCCTAGAAAAATTACATGTAAAATAGGTTATTTTATGTTTAAAGGTATACTTTCCTTCTGAAAAATTACTAAGTAAAAAACAGAGATGAATGCTTAAAAATTATACTTTATATAAAGTAATAATTACCTTAAGATGAAATATATTCATAAACATACAATAGATACTATGATTATTTTTAAGGTAATGAGGGAACAATTAGGCTGATATACTCAAAACATTTATATTGTTCAATTTAATACTACTAATTAGAACTATTTAGCATGTGCTTTTTTTTTAAAGCAAAAAATTTTAGGCGTTGATAATTACAAAAATTCAGATTTCTATTCAACAAAATACAACTAACCAAACAGCAAAGCATCCTTGGCAACCAAAATTAAACATAGTGTGAGCTCATTTTTGTGGGAATGGGAGGAGAAAAACCTTGATGGTATATGCATAGGAAAAAAATCTGGAAACCTATTTACCAGCCTAATAACTATAACTTTGAAGAATGGAGATTAGCATGCAGAGTGCAGAAATAGGGATTTATACTATTTACTATATATACTTCTGGATTCTTTTAATATTTGCAATAACCATGCATTTTTAGTAATTTTTAAAACTAATACTGAGGAAAAAGAAAAGTTTAGCTATCACCATCCTATGAGGTGGGTCCTCCTGGAAGCCTGTGCCCCACCCACTCAGTCTCATGCATATCTCTATCAGTGTTCACTTCTCTCACTACTCTGAGCTCCCTGTAGCAGTATAGACACTCAAATTGTTTGTTGACTCCAGAAAGAAACTCCACAATCTTTACTCTGTCAAAACTCTTTGTTTTTATTTTCAAACATTATATAATTCAGTTTGACTCAATTTCTTTTTAAAAAAGATTTATGTATTTTTAGAGAAAGGGGAAGGGAGTGCACTGGACAAGAGAGGGTGAGAAACATCAATGTGTCAGAGAAACATGGATCTGATTGCCTCCTGCAAGCCAACAAGGGACCTGGTCCGCAACCCAGGCACGTACCCTGACTGGGAATTGAACCGGCAACCTTCAATTCCGGCAAACTTTTGGTTTACAGGCTGGCACTCAATCCATGAGCCACACCAGCCATAGCTTAACTTTGATTTCTTTTAAGCAAACCAGCTGAAATGACCAACTTCAGATTTGATTTAATCATTGGTTTCTATTAAATATATACAATCACATGAGGCATAACAATCTTTTTTGCAGTCCACATCAGACCACACATACATTCAATGGTGGTCCCATAAGATCATACTAGAGCTGAAAGTTCCTATCACCTTATGATGTCATAGACACACAGCCATTGTAAGATCTTAATGTCATAGCTCAACCAATTACTCATTGTTAAGTGGCATGACTGTAATTTGGTAGAAAATGCATATACGTTTCCCAATTTTATTTCATTGTGCAATTCTAATAATTTTGTGAAATAACACTTTTAAAGAGAGGTAAGAATAATGTACAAAAATAAGAGGAAAAATGTTTGTCATTTGAAAATAAAGCTCTTTATAATTTCTTAAAATGTTAAAGTTTTAACATTTTAAGTTAAATATGGGAGTGAGAATATGGAAACTTTATCCTTTCTTTGCAATTTTACAGTAAATCTAAAACTGTTCCAAAAATAAAGCATATTAAAATTAAAAAAAATAAAAAATAATCTGGCTGGTGTGGTTCAGTGGATAGAGCACTGGGATGCAAACCAAGAAGTCGCCAGTTTGATTCCCAGTCTAGGGCACATGCCTGGGTTGCGGGCCAACTTCCTGTATGCAAGAGGCAAACTGATAGATGTTTCTCTCACACATCCATACTTCTCTCCCTCTTTCTCTCTCCTTTCCCCTCTCTCTAAAAAATAAATAATTTTTTTAAAAATAAGCCCTTTATAATCTCATATGTTCAAGGAATCTGAAAGTTTATATTGGAGGTTCTTGAATATTTTACCTTCTCTAAAAAGTCTCTGTCTTTGGTCATCTAAGGTGTGTGTGAAAATTTGTAGCAACAGGTGAGTATTAGTGCCTAAGGCAGCCTGGTTAATTGCTGAATATTCCTTATTATTTAAAAAAAAAGAGCTCTGATTGGTGTGGCTCAGGTGGTTGGGCCTCATCCTGCAGGTGAAAGGTTGCCCGTTCATTCCCAGATCAGGGCACATGCCTGGGTTGCAGGTTCGGTCCCAGGACGGGATATGTACAAGAGGCAACCAATAGATGTTTTTTTTTCCTCTCTCCCCCATTCTTCTCTCTTTAAAGATAAGTAAATAAATTCATTAATGCAAGAGAATTATTCTGAAATATGTTAATAAATGGATAAATAAATGAAATACAACAATCTATACATTAACCTTCAAATATTAGATGGCAGGCACTATCTCTATTTATTGAGCATATAATTTTCAAAAATGTCCAATGCATTAAAGAGGAAAGTAGTATAAATATCCTACCGACTATAGCTTAAAATCAAATTTAAAATTTTTGAATTAAAATTAACTGAAAATTATTAGTTTAATGCTTACACACATTAACAGTAAAAGCAAACATAATTAAGTAGCAAAATAAACAAAACATAAATAATGTTAAAAGAAAGGGGAAAAAACATAAAGCAGTCAGCAGAGTTTCACAACATTGTTATGAGCAAGGGTCAGCAAACTACAGCATGTCAGGCAAGCCTGGCCAATAACCTTCTGTACAGCCCATGAGCTAAAAATGCTTTTTATATTTTAAAATTGTTGAAAAATCAAAAGAAGAATATCTCATGACACATGAAAATTATATTACAATCAAATAACAATGTCCACAAGTAAAATAAACCCAAATAAATAACATCAGAAATGAACGAAGAGAAATAACAACTGACACCAAAGCAACACAAAGGATTCTAAGAAAGTACTATGAACAACTATATATCAACAACTGGACAACCTGGATGAAATAAATTTCCAAAAATACACAATCTTTTAAAATTAATCAGTACGAATCAGAGAATATGAATAAACAGATTATACCTTGTAAAATTGAAGCAGTAATCAAAAAACTCCCAACAAACAAAAGCCTTGGACTAGATGGCTTCACAGGTAAATTTTACCAAACATTCTGAGAACACCTCTCCTACTCAAACTATTTCAAAGATTTCAAGAGAATGTTCCCAAACTCATTTTATGAGACCAGCATTGTCCCAATTCCAAAACCTCATACAGACACTACATAGAAAGAAAACTATAGACCAATATCTCTGATAAACACAGACATCAAATCCTCATCAAAATCAGCAAACAGAATACACCAATACATTAAAAAGATTATTCACCATGATAAAGTTGGATTTATTCTGGGAATATAAGGTTGGTACAACATTCACAAATCAATATGATGTACCACATAAACAAAATGAAGAATCAAAAGCACATGATCATATCTATAGATGGAGAAAGAGGATTTAATAAAATTCATCATCCATTTATGATATAAACTCTCAGAAAAGGGGGAATGGAAGGAATATACCTAAACTTAATAAATAAAGGTCGTATGTGACAAACTTACTGCCAGCATCATATTCAACAAGCAAACACTACAAGCATTCCCCGTAAGATCAGGAACAAGACAGGGATGTCTGCTTTCACTTCTCTTATTCAGCATAGTACTAGAAGTCCCAGCCATAGCAATCAGACAAGAAGACATAAAAGCATCCACACTGGAAAGGAAGAAGTAAAACTGTCTTTATTGGCTGATGGCACAACACTGTACCTAGAGAACCCCAAATATTCCACCAAGAAACTTCTGGAACTGATAAATGAATTCAGCAAAATAGGAGGATACAAAATTAATATCCAGAAATCAGTTGCATTTTATATGCCAATAATGCACTAACAGAAAGGGAAATTAAGAAAACAATCCCATTTACAATTGCTTCCAAGAGCATAAAATACCTAGAAATAAACCTAACCAAAGATGTAAAAGACCTGTACACAGAAAACTGTAAGACAATGAAGAAGGAACCTGAAGATACAAATAAGTAGAAGTATATGCCATGTTCATGGACAAGAAGAATTAACATCATTAAAATGTTCATACTACACAAAACAATCTACAGATTCAGTGCAATTCCTATCAAGATTCCAATAATGTAAAGAACTAGAACAAATATTTCAAAAATTTATGTGGAACCACAAAAAACCCTGTATAGCAACAGCAATCCTGAGAAAGAAGAACAAAGTGGGAGGAATCATGCTACCTATTATCAAACTATACTACAAGGCCATAGTAATCTAAACAGCATGGTACTGGCATAAAAACAGACACACAGGTCAATGGAACAGAATACAGAGCTCAGAAATAAACCCACATCTTTATAGATGATTAATATTCAACAGAGGAAGCAAGCACATTCAATGGGCTAGAGATAGTTTATTCAATAAATGGTGTTGGGAAAATTGGAAAGACATATGAGAATAATGAAACTAGGCCACCTCTTTGTACCACATACAAGAATAAATTCAAAATGGATCAGACTTAAATGTTAGACCCGAAACCATAAAAATCCTAGAAGAAAACATAGGCAGCAAAATCTTGGACACTGCTTTAGAAATTTTTTTATTATATGTATCTCCCCAAGGTAAGGGAAACAAAAGGAAAAATAAAGAAATGGGACTATATCAAACTAAAAAGCTTTTACACAGCAAAGGAAATCATCCAACAAAATAAAACAACCCACAGAATGGAAGAACATATTCACCGACACATCTGATAAGGAGTTAATATCCAAAATTTATGAAATATTTATAAAACTCAACACCCAAAAACCAAACAACTCAATTAAAAAACAGGCAAAGGACCCAAATAGACACTTCTCCAAAGAAGACACACAGATGGCTAATAGACACGAACAGATGCTCAATGTCACTAATCATCAGAGAAATGAAAATTAAAACCACAATGAGATATCACCTCACACCATTCAGAATGGCTATCATCAATAAATCAGCAAACAACAAGTATTGGTGAGGA